GGACCTGGGGTGTGAGGGATGTGGAGAGGAGTCTGGCAGACGAGTTGGGTGAGGGGCGGGGTGGGGGGGAGGGAGGAAGCAGGGCCCGGTGCTAGGGCTCGGAGGGGTGCGAGGTGTGGGGACCCGGGGCCCGAGAAGGGATCGCATAGCTGCAGGAGTGAGGATGGGCCTTGAGGAAGGATGTTTACCTGGAGGAGGTAGGAGACGGAGTATGGGGTAGAATGCGGGGTCGAGGGAGGGTCCCATGAGGGTCCTGGGGGAGATGATGGGTGAGGGGGTCCCCGCCGCGGGAACCCAGAGCAGGGGAGTGGGCGCGGAGGGCCCAGAGGTGCGGAGGTAGAAGCTGCTAAGAAGTAGTTCCTTACACCGAGGAGTTCCACGGTTCCCGCGCGCTGGCATGAGGAGCACCCGTGGGTGCGGGGAAGGTTCAGAAGGACCCGAGGGTGCGCGGGCCGGCGGAAGGGTCCGGGGATGAGGTGCCCAGGAGTGAGCGGCGGTCAGCACGGGGCGTCTACGGATGGGGCTGGAGGCTCCAGGCGTGGGGTGCCACATCAGCCTGGGCCCGAGAGCCCCCATGCCGGCTCCTCGAGGACCAACCTCCTGGCACGTGGAGGTGTCGCAGTCGAGGGGTCCTGGGCAATAGGTATTTCTGGGTGCTCTGCAATACGCGGGCGGGAAGAGCCTTTAGGAAAGGGCCTGTGGCGGGCCGAACTGGGCACGCACTGTGCTCCTGAACAGCCGCCAGCCACTGTCAGGCCTGGGGCGACGGCCAGAGCGCGAGCATGACGGGAAAGTGCTCCCTCAGCCTGGGAGACTCGGGGCCCTTCCGCGCCCGCGCCTTCGCGTTCCAACTTGGAAGCCACACCAGCAGCCTTGTAAGTCAGGGGGCGGGGCCGTGCCACACGGGGGCACATGCAGGGGCGGGGCCGGGGCGCTCGCGCTCGCTGCCCACCAATCAGGAGGATCTGGGAGGGCCTGCGGAGCGTGACGTAGCGGGCAAGGCTGAATGGGCGGACTGCGACACAGCGCCCCGCCTCCCAGCGCCCCGCCTCCCAGCGGTGTGTTGCGCGCGCACTTCGGCCTTGCAGGCTCGTCCACCTTCGTAGGCAAGGCTGATGGGAACTTTCTCACTCCTCGTGCTCACATACACTGGAGCTGGTTGCAGCCAGGTCGAGTTCTCACGGGGGAACCAGCGAGCATCTCCAAAATTTTAGAGTACACTCCCGAAGTGCTCCTGGCGAGGGGCAGCCCCCAGACCTGGCTGGTATCTGCATCAGGTGAAGCCCAGTGAAGGTCCAGTGTGGGATACAGCCCTGGCACAGGCTCCTGTGGCTGAGGCAGAGGGGGCGAGCACTTCAGGAGAGCTACTATAAAAGATAGTTAAGCGCTTTTGCCCCCAAATCCAGACCTCAAGTGGCATCCTGGTTCTGTGTGGGGGGTGGATCTCTTGGTGCCAGTTTTCTTGGCGTATGCTTACACGTGGGTAGCTGCTCTTCTAAGGTGCCTTTGGAACCCCAGTGAATTGCCTGGGGCTGTCAAGCCATGATGGTTGAAGTGAAGTGCCCCTTTGGTTAGAAAGGCAAGCCCTAGTGTAAGTATCACAGACTCCAGGACACGCTCTGCCTAACTCTCCAAAGTACAGACCATTAGGTCCCCAGTGGTACCCAGGACTTCACTTATCTCTACTTCTAAAGCTCTTCACATTTATTATGAGTATGGCTGGCCCACCAACTGAAGAATTAAAATGTTCTCTGAATTCAACTTAAAAAAAACTACTGAATTCTAAGGGGTCAGAGAGGGATTTGCCAGAGATAGGTGTGTGGGGATATATGGTTCCTCATACAATTCTTAGTATATAACCACAGAGATCAGCATCCCTGCTTTCTGGCCGATGAAGCATCCTATTAGCCAGGGCAAGGTATTGGAGCTTTTGGACTCACTGATACACATGCCTGAGACCTGATTCCTTTTGGATGGGGCACTTTCAGAGATTCTGCTCATTTAACTGAGGCTGAGAGGGATATCAGGGTACAGGGCCAAAGGAAGAGGTTTTCATACAGTCTGTCTCCTTGGTCTTTCCCATAATAATGACTCCCTAGGGCCCTCCAGTAACAATTTTTCCTTACCCGCATTCTCTATCATCTTTAGCTCCCTGAGATCACCTCTAAAAATACCCCTACCTTCACCCAAGTATTTGTTTCAAGCTCAAGCAAGAAAACAGCTTGCTATCTTTTAAGTCCTTCCTCTCCATATTCTTTTAATTTAAAGTTTCAATTTATTATTTCATAAATATTAATAGAAAGCAAAGAAAAAATTACCCACAGTTCTATAACTCTTTTTAATGAATCTATTTTCCTCTGTTTCTCCCCGATCTTGCTTATACGTTGACATAATTTTTACGTAGCTATAAAACATGGTTAAAATGAAAAGGTGAGCATTTTTCCAAGTGGTGGCAATCATTGTAACTACCTTTATAAATGACTGCTTAACACCTCACTGAATGAGTCTTAGATATCTTAGTTTTACAGATGAAGGAAAGATTCAAGAATTGCTCTTGGGACAACTGATTAGCCATGAGGAGAAAATATATATTTATCTCAGTCCTTACAGCATATCAAGATGGATCAAATGATTAAATATACAAAATTCACAAACAATTAAATATACCAGAATAAATATGGGTAAATGCCTTTTTGATCTCGGATGGGAAAGGCCTAAGAGTGACAAAAACTCTCGATATTACAAAGGATAAGATTGATAAATTTGGCTGCATTTGTTCATTCACTTATTGAGTGCTCACTATGTGCTAGGTTCTGTTCTAGACACAGGATCTCAGAGTTGTCTGAAACAAGCATTAGGGGAAGGGCTATAATACTCTCACATGTCTTTTATAGCTAAGGGCTGTCCTAGAGGTCTTAAGCCAGCCAGGCACTTTGGCCTCCCTGGGAATGAAAGTAAAGAGCCCCAGTGACCTGAGGACAGGTGCCAACCATTGGAGGCCAAAGCACATCAAGATCTGGACAGAGCACTGGCTGAGTCACGTTTCCCAAACATTCAGTGTCCTTATACTACCTGCATTATTTAATGTTATCTTCAAATTAACTTTTACTTAAATAGAATTCTTTAAATAGAAAATTAGTGGATAGACCATGATCCTAAATAGGAAGAGCTACACAGAATGAGGGGGCACGGAATGAGATACCAAGGGCAGGAGGACATGGGACTAGGGCTGGCAAGTCTAGCCCTGAGAGTCTAAGGACAGGTGCAGGTAGGAAGCTGGAGGGTATTGGTGAGAGCAGCCTGACTTGGAGTCTCTAGTTGAGCCCTGGGGTATAGCTCTAGTGTGGGAAGGATCAGTTGTTCTGGAAAGTGGGGAAGAGTGGCAAGACTACTCTGAGAGTGAGGGAAAGGCTGCCCTTGACAAAGGGACACTGGCTATTGAGATCGAAGTGAGGCGGTGATTTGCAGAAGGAGAAACCAAGGAGGGGGCTGTATGGAATGAGTGCCCCAGGTAGAGGGAACAGCAGCATGTTTCCAGGCTTAGAGGCAAGGGAGAGCATGCTCGGGGGGAAATGCCAGCAGTGGCTGGAGTTTAAGACTGGTGATGTGTAGGCTCACATCAAAAGGCTTGTAACTCAAGAAAAGGATCTTGGCTTTATTCTGGGGGCTGTGGGGATGACATATCCAGGTATGTGTTTAGAAAGTTTCTACTGACTAACAAATTAGATAAGGGGCAGTACAAAAGCAGGGAACCCCACAGAAAATGTTGCATTAATCCAGAAAGAAGAATGGCGATGTTCTCTGGCTTGCCCCTCCCAGCCTGCCCCTGCCCTGCTCTCCACCTCTGAATCCCTGCCCTCCAGGCTCTGCTCTTGGTCTGCTTTTTCTCTTCTTTATGGGCATCTCAGTCTTGAGTTTTGTGTGTCTGTTACATAGTTTCTGTCTCAGCAAGTGCTTTTATGTGCCTCTGTCTTTCTCTGATTCTAGCTGCATGTGCTTCTGGCTTTTAGGAGCTGGGCCACAGGCTGGCAAGTCTCCTGGTGAAAAAGTTGTGGAAGTTGGATATGGGCTGATTCCTGGTGGTCAGTCAAGTGGATACAATCCTGAAACCGCTCACAGGTCTCTCTCGGGGTCACCTTGAAACCTAGATGAGGTTCCTCCAAGCAGTAGTCCTTCTCTGATACTATGAACCAGGCACAGTGTCTGATATCAGCTCCAAAAAGGTCTCCTCTAGCCTAGGGAGGACGAGCCACACACAGAAGTCCTTTATTTATTCTCCAGATAGGTATCGGGTGCCTTCAGTGCGCCCAAGTCCAGTGGACAAACCCCCCTCAAGGGGCTTACAGCAGTGGAATAATCAGAGGGTGGCACAGAGTAAAGCCGACTTATTCTCTAGTAGTCCAGGAAGTCCCCATAGAGGAGATGATGTTAGCGAAGTCATTTCTGGAAACCTCAGTTTCCTGGTAGGAGGACTTTTTCATCCATAGTGTCCACAGAGAAGGCTGCATCTGAGGAGCAGTAGACCATCATGATGGAGGCAGAGGTTGGGTTCTTGAAGGCCTGGTTGAGTTTGGAGTTTAGCCTGTAGGTAATCTGCATCTCTTGATACTTCTTAAGCAAGAGACCAGGAACCTCTTAAAAAACTAGTTCAGATCTGTACGTTGAAGTGAAAAACAACTCAAACTAGCTTAAGCATCATTGAGGACTATACTGGCTCATGTAACCAGACCAGGGTTACATGCCTGGGCTGGAGTGGTCCAGGATCAGCATTGCTGAAGTGAAGCGTCCACCAAGGGGGAGGCTCTCAACTCCAGCTGCCTCTCCCTGTGACCTGGAAGACCAAAGTGTTAGGAAAGCTGGAGGGCTTCCTTATATCCTATGACACCCTGTCTGGTCTTCCCTACTCAGTTTCGCCAAGATATCATCCCTGAGGGGGATCACCAGCAACTCATCCTTTTGCCGTCAACACCCATGCTCCCACCACATCCCGATCCTTTCTAAGACCCCCTCTCCCCATCACACATGGGTTCCTCCAACCAAATGCTTGAGTACACTGATACCAGGGGCTTCCTAGCCATCTTTCCCCTCTGCTCTCATCCTTAGGGATACTTTCCACGTGTCCTCACATGGGACTTGTGCAAAATATCCTTGCCACTTACAGACACTCCGTTCCCAAGAATAGGTCCCCCAATGGGCCAGTGGTCTGGCAGGTGTAGCCTGCCCCCTGGTGGTGGCCATGTTGTGTGGTCCTTTTCATGTGCCCAACTGGATCTGGAATCTGGCCTCTCTCCCTGCGGGCTCCCTGGGTTATACCACAGCTGGAGTGGGCTCAGTCTCTTCTCTCACTTCACCTAGCTGTTGTGATTTGCACTCCTTTTCAGCTTTCCCAAGAAAAGCCTTCAGGAGTGTGAGGGCCTGTGTGCTTGTCTGGAGGGGTGGAAGGCGGAGGAATGAGCGATGTGCCCCAGTCTTGGAGTAGGCAGTGGAACAGCAGAGTGGATGCTGGCTGCTGGTGATGGAGAAAAGGGGTCAGCCAGGGGTCCTGAGCACAGGGAGAAACGGACACTCGGCATAAAGTTGGTGGTTAGGAAGTGTTTGGGGAATTTGAGAGCAAGACGTAACCTGGTCTGAGACATACTCTATGGCCTTGGGGCTGAGATGTCGCATCCTCAGGGTACCCAGAAATCCAAGAAGCCTTTCTGGAAGAGGACACCCCAATCACTTCCTCTCTACCTCCCAAATCCCAGACCTGCTCTGCCCACAATTTAGAATAAGGGGACACATACCTGCGCTCAGGTCCTTCCAGAGAGCCCTGGGTCAAGGGAGGACATGGCTCTACCCGAAAACTCTGTTACAGAGGAGTAGCCACTGGAACAGAGCAGGGAAGCCCTGTGCGTCCTCAGCCTAGGGGTCATAGAGTCCTAAGTTGATTTGGTGACTCTGGTGCCAATGGGCCCCTTGAGGTAAGACCCCACACTTCTAGTCCCTACATGGGTTGCCCCTTCAGTGCCTTTCCTATGTCCTAGGGTACCAGGTGTCACCTGGCCAGGTTGGTAGAGCTGCTCTTGCCTAGCTGCTGGCATGTGGCCTCTCACCCAGGTTCCCCTAGGCCTTGGGCTCTGGCCCAGCCCCAGATGTCCCTTTTATTCCCTGACTTGTGCTTGCAGAGCTGAGAGGGACAGATCCAGGCATGCCCACGGTCTCTGACATGAGGTATTTCACGGGCAGGTCTGGTCACAGACGCACATCCTGGCACACACAGGTACAAGCTCACTTGTACACAGGCTCAAATACATGCCAGGACACAGGACACACATGTGACAGGGTTTTATCTGCCCAGACTGGTTTCCCCCTCCTTGGCACTGGCTGTTTCTCCCTCCCTCCCCGGCCCTCTGGCCCTGCATATCACAGCCCTGCCCTGCGCTACCCTACCCCTTACTCCCCTCGAACCCTGCCCCCTCGGCCCTGCATATCACAGCCCTGCCCTGCGCTACCCTCGAACCCTGCCCCCTGTCATCCCTCGTGTACGGATCACAGGTGAGAGTGAGGGAGCATCTACTCTCTTTTTTTTTTTTCACACAAACTTCTCCAGACGCCTGGGTATATATAGAGAGGGTTGGGCTATCTCCTTTGGAACTGGGGGAGGGGATGATCCAGGGAATAAAAAAAACATAAGATCTCAATAAAACGGCCTGTCCTCTGACTCTACTTTCCTCCCTCCACCCCTCACATCTCATTTTACCCCTAGCACAGACCCAGGTGCCACGCTCGAGTGCACCTGCCGCGCCTCGTCCTTCTACGCCGCTGTCCCACATGCACCGCTAAAACTGATTCTTAGATGCAGCTCTTGACCGCAATGAACCACCACCGCCCACCGAGCCCCGCTCCTGTGCCTATGTGGCCGTGGGAGGCACTTTCGGTGCACCACACCTCAGCGCTAGGCTGAGGTGGGCGGGACCCACGGGGCGGAAGAGGCCGGTCTCCGCTGAAAGAGGCCAGGTAAGCGCTTTCTGTTTCGGGTCCTTGCTTTCCGGGCGGGAACGAGCAGATGCTGGTTCGTTGCCCCGAAGGCTCTGGAATGAGTGTAAACTGGGACACCTGGCCTGGCCTGAGCCTGGAGATGGGATTGAGGAAGTAAATTTTAGGAACTTTGGAACCATTGAACTTTGTTTTTAAAAGATTTAAAGCAAAATGTTTTTGAAAAGTGACACTCACCACACGGACTTGGCCAGACCTCGAGCGTTCACAGAGCTCCTTCACATTTTCTATTTCGATGAGTCTGTAATGGCTCTTGGTGGGAGAAATGAAGGTGGGTGGGTGTCACCCTTTCTGCTTACCATACCCCAGGCTTTGACTGGGTACCATGTGTCCTCAAGGGTGAGACTCCCTTGGTTACAAGGCACGGAGAGTCTCCAAGGGAAGGCACAGCGTGAGGGGCCCAGAGCAGAGGTCTCTGCCCCAGCCAAGGCCTCACGGCAACCCAAGTCAGACCGTGGAGAAACCCATCACCTGACAGTCTTCAGAGAAGATGGGGTTTCACTGCCGACGCCCCGGAAACTGGATCATGCAGGACCAGCGCCACTCCAGACCAGCACTCCTGTTATTCTAAGTCATGAATGTGACTCAGCTGTATCTTCCATCACTGTGGTCTAACGCTAGCAACTTATTAATTTTCATAAGGCCCAATTTACATTCTGGGGAAAGAGAGAAACTGTTTAGCTCAGTTCATTGTATATTGTTCAAGTTATTATGGTTGTATAAAATATCACTCCAAAACTTAGTGACTTAAAAAAAAACGACAAAAATATTCATATGCGTATGATCTGTAGGACATGGTAGGAATGGCTCATCTCTGTTTTACATGGTGTCCCCTGGGCCCCTTGAAGGCTCACTTTCTCATGTTGCCATCTGAAGGCTCATTTTCTCATGTTGCCATTGATGCTGGCCGTAGGCCGAGACCTTTGGGCTGCTGGCTGGAAACCCCACAAATGGCTGTCGTAACCATGCCTTTCATTTACTACGTTGTTTTGACATCTTGGGACCTTGCTGCCCCTGGAGCGTCCGCCCCTCCCAGGCAGGGCGAGCTGTCCTGGAGACACAACAGCTACCTGTGAGCTTGGCTTTCCTCTGCAGGCCAACTAGTCCTCTGCTACTCCTCAAGGGAGCTCTCGCACTCCAGGCCACTGTTCCCTTTCCCTAATCACCTCAGGGCCAGGTGCCAGACAAATGAGGACAATCCCTACACCCCAGCGGCCACTGAAATTATTCATACTAGCTAGTCCTAAACCTGCTTACCCTGTCTCGCATGTTCCCTTGTCTGTTTTCCTTTCTCCTGCCTCCTGACCTATGTTGGTGCTTCTGCATGTGGTTCCCCCATGGCATGGCGTGTGCCTCCTTCTCCTGGGAACTACGAGGATAACAATTTTTTCCCAGTGGCAGTTGTCTTCTGATCTATTGGTTTCACCATACTTGAATAATAAAAAAAAAACCCCATATTTTAAAACAACGGTCTCGCCGGTGTCTTGGTTGTCATTGTGGTGGCTGGGTTCTGAGGGTGTGTCCTCTGAGTGGGAGAGAGCACGGGGTGGGGGAAAACTATATGGCATTTTATGACCTAGTCTCAGAAGTTCCTCGGTGCCACGTCTACTACATTGTTCACTGAGGCAATGTCAAAGTCCCATCTGGGTTCAGGCAGGGTTGGGGAAAAGACCTCACCTCTTGATGGGAAGTAGCAAGGTGACGGGAGAACATTTGAATGGAAATATTGTGGTGGCCAGTTTAGGAAAGTACAGCACGCCAAATTATCCTCTCTGGGCAGAGCTCCAGGCCACCCCCTAGGTCACTGGCCAGTCAATGGTTAGGACGCTCATAGGTCAGATGTCTAATCTCACCCAGTATTGCCCTTGGACTTGAGTAAGAAGAACCCTTGCCTTGGGCCCTCGTCCAGCTTCCCCTTCTCAATGGGATGAGACATTTGCAGAACAGGGCATGTGACTACCTGAAGTCTGTGCACCCACTGGCCCTGTTTTAGAACACACTTGGGGCACCCAGATCCCTGTTCAAGTAGGAGATGACAGGGCAAGTCATTGGCTGGGGCTGTTTACAGATCTTGACTCTGAGTTCCCGCCACTATTGCACATTGTTCCTAAAGCAGGTTGGCTCAGGAAATGACTGTACTTGATTTATTTGAAGAAGATGGCATTGACAAAAATTTAGAGAAGTATCCTGGGAGAAACATAATAAAACCTCAGTCTGAGTGGAGACGTGTTTACCTGGGGTGTGTAGCACATGATCGGGGCTGAGAGAGGCACTTTTTCTATTTAGGAAATCGAGGCTTGAGATCCACAATCTACTAGATCTGTGCTCCCTAGGCCACTCTGTTCTCAGGAAGTTAAACTCATAACTCCAGATTGCATATCTGTTGGACAGTTCCGAGGGAGCTATGAAGATATGGAGAGACATGGGAAGAGAGTAAGACAGCCCCAAAGTTATGTCATATATGTTATACTCCTCCTTTGCATATGCTGTTCCTTCTGCCAAGAATGCTGTTCCCTACTCTTCACCTAAGTAACTTCCCAGTTTCCCAAGGCCCAATAATTAGGAGCTTCCTCCTCTGAGTTAAGTACTCCTGGGCTATGCTCCCCTTAGTCTTTGGAATTACAAATCAGGAAAGAGCAATTGTAGGATGAGAAGGAAGAGGTGGCATACATGTCCCCTGGATCAGTCTGCAGACCGACTTAACATCCTGGCTCTGATAGATTGGGCTGCACCCTCATGTGAGACCATTCTGTATGCTGCACGGGACACCTGAAGGAGGTCCTGCTACTCACCTAGTTTCTCCTTCCTGCTGGGAAAAGCTTGAGGTGCCAAGGACATTCCCCTTCCCAATACCAAAACACATTTTTCTCCATTCATAACTTAATTGAACTTAAAAGTGTCTCTTTTCCCTTTATTTATAAAAATACATTTTTCTTCAACAGTGGGGTTCCGAAAGACTATTAGATACTCCCCTTCCTACCTCTACCCTGCTGTGTATGGTCTCTGCTGAGACCAGAAGCCAGGAAGCAAGATTGCTCACATCTCTCTAAAGGCAGCCAACAAAACACAGAACTTCTACAGAGAAGGCTTTCTGGACCGTGGCCGCTTCTCTTTGCCTCTTAGGACGCAGGCTGCATTCAGATTTAAACTAGTTTATTAGCAAATAGATTATTCATATCATGTTCATATTCATGTCTCTGCTGCTTCCTTGTCGGTGCTGAGCTGGTTTAAAATTTCCAGATGCAGCAAAGCATTCTCCAGCATTGATAATCGTTGTCATCGGGAAGACTTGACTCAAAATCAACTCAAGAAAATAGATCTAAACTGGAGACTACAAACTGGCAGCCACGGGCCCATGCTGGTGGCAAACATGGACGTCCTTGTTTTTTAAATTTTTGTTTGTACAGTGTAGACTCTCACAATGTTTTTTTTTTAATTACAGACTTACAGAAACATTGCAAGAATAAAGAATTCCCAGGTACCCTTCCACTAGAATACCCAAATGCTAACTTTTTATCCCTCCATATTATTATTATTTGATCTATTTGAGAATACGTTGCAGACTTACCCCTAACACTTCAGTGATTATTTCCTAATAAACAAGAATAGTCTCTCAAATAACTATATATAATTATCAAATCAGGAAATTAACAGTGATACAGTATTATTGCCTAATTTATAGACCTTATTCACAACTCACCAATCAACCTATTCTGCCCTTTATAGCAAAAGAGAAAATTTATTTTTTTCTGACCCAGGATCCAATATTGGATTATGTTGTTATATTTCTTTTGTTTCCTTTAATCTAGAACAGTTTTTTGATCTTTCTTTGTCTATCATGATCTTGCCAGTTTTGAAGAGTACCGGCCAGTTCTTTTTGGTAAAATATCCCTTAATAGGAGTTTGTCTGTTGTTTCCCCATGCTTAGACTCAGGCTATGCGTTTTTGGCTCCAGAAGTGATGTATCCTTATCAGTGCATCACATGACTAGGCTCGTGAACATTGCTGATAACATTAACTTTGATCAGTTGGTTAAGGCGGCGTCGCTAAGGTTTGTCCACTATAAATTTTGTTTTTTGGTGTTATCCCTAATTAAAAAGCATTTTGTGGGGAGGCAGTTTGAGACAGTGGAAATACCCTTATTCTCATCAAATGCTTACCGTCCAGTTTTAGCATCTGTTGATGATTCTTGCCTGAGTTAGTTACTGCTATCAAGTTTTCCCAGTTTGATCAGTGGGAGTCCGTTCAAGTCGGTTTTTCTGTGTATGTGGCATCTTCCCATTATTCTTTGAGCACTACCTTACTTTCTAGTATGACAATATGTTTCAGGCTGATCTTGTCCTTTCTCTGCACTAGTCCTGAAATCAGTCATTTATCTAATGAAGCTTGATTCTTTTGGGGAGAGAATGGCTTTTACAAACCAAGATCTGGGTGCAGATGTGCTCATTGCTATTGGGGTGTTATTGATTCTAGACTTACTCAGTGGACACATACATACAATTTGATATCTATCTATTCATCTATCTATCTACCTACCTACCTATATGTCAATTTCTCTGTTTACATCTATATCAATCTACTTCTTTACCAGTCATCCATCTATATTCAGTCTACTAAAATCATGAGTTTATAGTTTATACCTTCAATTCCTAACACCACACAATTCATTATAGCCTCCCCTCTTCCCATACTTGTAACTTTCTTCTCTGATGGGGATAACTTAACTTTCATTATCCACGATATATTTGTACACTCAATCTTAGAATACCCAGAAAGTAGCTTTAGAATTGCTAACCAACTGCAAAAACCAACCTTCGAAGTAGAGATCAATATTTGTTTACAGTTCTCTTTGTATTTTGTGAAAGTACTTTATTCAGATGATACTTAGGTTAGTTCTTCCACCTCCTGCCCTCCCCGGGTTAGGATCGTTTATTTATTTATTTTTTTGGTCTGTATTTTATTTTAGGATTTCCTCCCATTCTTGTTGATTTTATTTTTGGTAAGTGAAACATTGATATGGTCTTCAAAGTTAGAACTATACAGAAGTGTCACTGTCCCATCCTGTTTACTGCCTCCCATCCCACACCCTCTCTGCCCTGCTCTGCCCTAGCACTCAGGTCATCACTTTCATTTCTTTCTGGTTTATCCTTTCTGTGTCTTGTTTCCTTGTTCTGTACAAATAGTACATACACGTGTACAGCATATTGCCATTTCTCATTCCTTATATGAACGGTGGCATACGGTAGATACTCATTCTTACCTCTCTTTTTCGCTTAACAATATAGCCAGCAAATCTCTCCATTTCAGTTCAGAGATCTTTCTATTTATTTTATTTTTATTTACTTATTTTAAATTTTAGCCACACTGCTTAGGAGTATCTGGAGGGCAAATCCCTGCATCACTGGGGCAAAAATAAACGATGTGCAGTTTCATTAAGAATTGCCAATTTCCTCCCAGAAAAGTTCTATCATTTTGCATTTCCACCAGCAGCGCATGAGAGTGCCTCTTTCCCCACAGCGACAACAATAGAACGTGAGTCATATTTAAAAATTTTGCCAGTCTGCTAGGAGAAAAAAAGGCATCTCAGCATAACTTAAATTAGTCTTTCTCTTATAATGTAAGTTGAATATATTTTCATATGTTTAAGGCCCATTTAAACATACACAGTGAATTGTGTATTCATGTCTTTTGCCCATTTTTCTATTTTTTAGAGTTTTTTTTTCTACAGTAAGGATATTGGCCATTTACCTGTGATATAGTTTGCGATTATTATCTCCCATTTTGTCATTTGACTTTGCTTATGGTGTTTTTTGCCAAGAGGAAATTTTTTTAGTTTTTCATGGTCCAATTTATCAATCTGTTCTTTTTGTCATGGAGTTTGAGTCATAGTTAGAATGCTTTTTCTTACATTCCTATGCAGGAATCCACTTACGTTTTATTCTAGCGCTTGTATGGTTTCATCTTTTACAGTTGATCTCTGCTTCATTTGGAGTTTATTCTCTTGTAGGATGCGAGATAAGGATCTAGTTTTTATTTCATCCCATGGCTATCCTGTTGTCCAAGCACCATTTATTAAAGAGTCAATCTCAGCCCCAGTGATTTGAGATGCCACCTTTTATTGTATATTAATTTTCCATATGTACTTAGGTTGATTTCTAGGCATTTTATTCTATTATGCTGGACCAATACCACATTGTTTTCATTATAGAGGCTTTAAAGTATATTTTAATGTCTAGTAGGGCCTGACCCTCACTATAGGTTTTTTTCTACCCAGTATTTTCCTAGATATTCTTGTATGTTTATTTTTTCCATATAAACTTTAGTATCTCCTTGCCTAGTCCCAAGAAAAAATATTGTCTGAAAAATATTCCTAAAATTTTGAATTAGTTTCCAACACTAAAATGGGGTGTTATCACATGAAAATATGGATTTCTAGTTTCTCTTGAAAATTGGGAAAGTCTGTCAATT